AACTGATAATACACTTCCTGTGTATTCTTTTTTTATTAATGAAATTTCCTGATTATTTATCAAAAAAAAAAAAAAAATTATGTAGAATGTCCCGAGTATTCTAATGTTAGCCTGCTTATATTGTGAATAGCTTATCCACATACAATATTCAAAGTCAACACATTTTTTTACTGAGTCCTTAAGTCCTAAAATTTGACAGCTCAGAGCTCACAATTCTAATACTCAGATGCACACCTATACCCCAGCTGAGTTACATTGTAGAAAACCATACATAAAACAAATGAAATCTAGAGATGAGCTTTGTTTAACTTCAAAAACCATAATATTGCCCAATATAAACCGTTATACAGAAAGTTGTTAGCGAAAAGGGAAAGCATACACATGAAAACACAAAGGTCGGTCAGTTTAGACTCACTTGAGCAGGACTTTCCATAGTTCCTTATATCTCACATTCAAAGATCCAATTGCTTCCTGTTTTTCATACCAGTTAGAGTCAACTGCTGGAAAATTCAACTCCTGAATTCCAGGTACTGTAAATACAAGAACGTAAAAAGAATGATCTTTATCAAAAAAGTGGAAATTATAAATAATTATCCATACCAAGTCAATTGCAAAGAATGATATTTATCAAAAAAGTGGAAATTATAAATAATTATCCATACCAAGTCAATTGCAAAGATTATTAGAGCTAGGTAATAGTTTGAAACTTGATGGATCAAGTAAGTACCTTTAATTATAGAAGAGGTAATATTCAAAAGACATGACTGACCAAAAGAAGCAAGAATTTCACCAAAGAAAACAACAAAAAATGGAGGTTATAGTGATTCCTGATTTGCATTTTACGACATTGTGAAGTTCTCTTCCAATTAAGAAAAATATCAACGCAAAAACAGAAAAATTGGGAGTGGGAATGATTATTATTCCAGTTTTTGCAGAAATGAGCGTCCTATGGAGTCTGTTTCTTCAGGAAAGATGTGTAACTATTCATCTTCTTTTCTGAAGTGTGAACCGTAAACTGAGGTACCAAACTGATATATCTGGGTCTTTTATTACCTTCACTGTATTTTTTACAGACCAGTTTTGTCGATCTTAATCTTTTTTATTCAAGATTACACTGCAACACCTTAGTGTGCACATTCCTAATTAATATAGTTTAAAACATATGCAGCAGCTTTATATATTAGAAAACGAAAACCACAGCAATACTACTAATGGAAACGTCATAATTTAATCTTAAGTTGCAATTCACTATATCAGGAAGGTCTATTGTTGAAGATGGTACACCAAGATGCACTGCACAAACTTTTCAGTTTTCAGTAATTAGTATTCCATAAAATGCAAAACCACAATTCCAGACAGATAATAGAGAGGGGCGATATTTCTAATTGACAGTATTTGAAAAGATGACAAAGGTTCGACTCGATGCAGACAGTAACAGAAATCCTCATTTCTCATAGGAAACCAATCAGAAAAAGCTTCTAATTTTATCCAAAAAAGGCACTAGAAAACTACAAATAGTTCAAAAGTGAAACAAACATATAATCACGACAAACTATAAAGAAAGATACGTGATCAGTCTTCTTCATATAGCAACAAGAAATTTATGTTAAAGTCTGTGTAGACTTAACTAACCTGAAGTATTGTTATCAATCTCGTCTCCTACTGCATTGTTTGAGATGAAGTGGACACTTATGGAGCCAAACTCGTACTGGATAATGTCATAAATGATACTATCAATTTTACAGTCTCATTTATATAAAAACACCGAAAAACATACATGCAGAATAGTAGCATACAGAAACTTACACGATCAGACCATTGAGACTCTATTTTAATGATATCCTCAACTTCCACCTGAATATGAAAAGTCCCTGGGTTCCCATTGACAGTTTTGCTTTTAACTATAACAGAACTTCTGGAAAATGTCACCATGGAGTCCACATAATGTACACCACGATAATTGATGTAATCAGCATACAGAACAATTTCCATTCTTCCATCATCCTGCCAATTGAAAAGCAAAAAATATAGTCAAATAGCAAGAACAGTGTGCATGCCATATTCTCATCAGAATTTAAACAATTCAGCTAACACTGAGCATATTTATAACTCTATCTAGCAAAGCCATGGATCTTTGAGTGAATGATATCTCAATCTCATTTAATTCTCTAACAAGATATGAAGCTTGTACAGCATCATCTGAAATCAATAGTGCAAGTGGCAACTTCCAAAGTAAACATATTGTCATGATTCAACAAGTCTCAACTCAGGATGCCTCAACCGTTTTTTGATCCAAGCATTTTCTTATTTGGTAAATAAAATTTGGATAGGTACAAATTGAAACCCTGTTACTTAAAACTACATCATGTCAATCAACAAGGTGAGAATCAATTTGAAATCAGGACTCATAACAAGCAATTACCCCCAGATCGCCGGAGAAACAAGGGGTAGAACATGTTACAATTATTTAGTAAATTTTAATTTTTCATATATATTACAATATTTATTTATGACTTTTCGTAGTTCTAGGACTCCTAGTCACTTGATTATCCCAGTTCTAGAACTAAAGCTCATTTAGTTATTTTCTGATCCAAGTCACAATATATAAGAAAACGCTATATTCTTAAGAGTGGTTTGTTAAGATGGAGGTGGCATAAAACGTTCAATCATCAATCTGTAAATTTAGTTTAAATAATTTTTTGTATCACGGCAAAGCAGTACTGACGTCTAACTGAGACTGAAAAAGGTCATTTCGTAAAACCATTGCTTACTGTTTGAAAACAAATTTTGAGAAATAAATGTTACTTAGTTCGGTTGAATCATTTTCTCAGTTGTCTAGCCTTGAAACAACATAATTTAAGCATGGCAGAATATTTAGATCAATGGCGTTATCTTATGGCACTTTGTGATGTGGATGAGATGAGTAAAGATGTTAATACTGACTTTGTCGCTCGACATCATTGTAGAAATCTCATGTCAACAACTAAAAGTTTGACATCTGTTAACAAAAATCTAAAATGGTTTTGAAAGTCAAAACCAAATGGAGAGTCCCTTTCTATAGTAAATCAAAAGAAACAATCTTTTAAAGCCATTAATTGTGAATAACAAAAAGTCTGAGCGTGATCCAAGCTATTCTTAGTTTTATGTGTTGAAATTCTTGATTAAAGTGTCTTATTATGAACATAACAGAAACATCGTGCCCTGACCTGCCAACCAGAGAAAAGATAGATCTTGTCAAAAGCTTGATGTTGATCCTCTACATCNTCTAAGAGCACTTAGGTTGTTCCTCTAATAACTCATGAAGAGGGATCGAGTCATTAGACGTTAAGAGATTCGCTGTAGCCTTCTCTCAAGCTGAAGGTATCTCAAGTATAGTAGCTTTCTTTCATGAAGAGAGATCCAGTCATTAGACGTTAAGAGATTCGCTTTAGCCTTCTCCCACGATGAAGGTATCTCAAGTATAATAGCTTTCTTTCATTAATAGTTGTTTGGCCTAGATTTTTTTTTATATACCTTACTCATTACTACTGAAAGAGATTTCCAAGCGCACATGGAGAAATTATGGGAACAAGGAGTTGGATATCACGTGTTTTTAATATTTAGCCCTTGTCTGGGATCCATTATAATGAGTTTTTGGGGACAATGTATTTTGGAATAGTGATTTTTTTTAAGAATGTATGGTTAAAAAAAAAAAAAGGTTTTGGATTTACGTGTAATATTATTTTATTGGAGAATGCGTGGTTAAAATGAGGAGAGAAAAAATGTATTAAATTATAATGGAGACCAAACAGTGGCTTATTGTTCTCTTTTCTAACTCTTATACAATTATGTCCTAATCCCAGTTCATTAGGACTCTTCCCAAGTTCTAGATTAAAAGGTCATATACAGGTTTTACGTACTTGCTGAAGAATTAACAATTGGATTGCCAAATATGGTCCCACCATGAACCAAAGGTACTGCTTGGATAGTTATGCACTGTAAATCTGTATATATGGTCCTAAACAGCACATCACTTCTAAACTGAGATGTCAACTGGGTTTGAGACATCCTAGTTTGGTCGGTCTACGTTACATTTAACTAATTTGAAGACATTTTCGGGAGTACATCTAGTTCCACTAGTCTATATAACCATCCCAAGTATTTTGGTTATACTCCAAAGAAAGAAAAGGAAAGGAATACAAGTTGTTATTACTTCTTTAGAATGAATAATCTTAAGGAAAGAATTAAAGTAGCTAAGTTGCTTACCATATTACAGCCACTGAAGCAGTTAGCAGACGATGGTCCATCAGAAGAAGCTGAAACGATGCAATTCTCATCGTAAGAAGATCGTGCATCAAACTATGAATTCCAGATTACCCAGAACTCCCCATCCCCAGTTCCCCAAAACCGAGATAAAATAGATAAGAGCAAGAAATAGTAGAATATCAAAAAAACCATACCATCATCATCTGCAATAGCAGAAGGAGATCTTTCGATCGTGCTTTCGTCAGCATCTGACACCATACTAATTGTCTCATCCTGCATGGATTCCAAAAGAGATGAGCAAACCTTAAGAAGCACTTCTCCTAAAAAGGTCTCGATATCAAGATTATAGTACATTGCATGAAGACTTTAGAAAGTCACAATTTCCTTGTTCATTCCCATGTGAAGTGGCTTCCGGGCTAGAACCGCATTGCACATTGGGTAAGACACTTCCAGGTTTAAGCTTATCGAGTCTGATATCAGCAGTTTGTTCTTGAATTCTTGAATTTACGAGCCAATCGTCATCAAATCCCGACATATATTTGCTAGCACGGTCCTTGGTGTCCAAAGGAGACAAAAAGCTAGCAGCATTACAATTAGGATCAATCTCGGCAGCCCTAACATCTGAAGATAGTACCTCCCCTATCTCCTTTGATTGAATTTCTGTTTTCCGGGCAACAAGAGAGAGAAACAACATAAAAATATTATAAAAGTGAAAGTTACGGCGTTAAGCTAAGGAAAGAAAGTGGTTTAATTTGAAGAGAACTGATGAATCTCTTCAATTACGCAAAAAAAAAAAAGCACAATATTCTGTTCATCTAAAAATTGAAGAGAACCATATTGTTATTACAACAGAAACTAATTCGAAAATACAGCACGGCGATATTCCTCACCAGAAGATTTATCAAGTGGCTCAAAACCCATGTCGGAAATCATCTTCAAGGACTCGTCCACCAAACTTTTCCTGTTTTTCAGAAAACTTCAATGGCTACCTAAAACAGTAGTCTGAAAAATGAAACTCTTCCTCCACCTTGTCGAGGGGTCAAAGCTCCATCGAGGTTGAGAATTGAGACCAAAATGTATAGAATCGCGAAGATTGAGCTTCCAAATTGTCCTTACCTTGAGCTCTAGAACTTAATTTTGCTCTAGGGTTGGGGCAGGAGATCGACTTATGATCAGCTAAATTTTTTCAACGCACTTTTTACGTAAGGGTCGTACTTAAAAGTCAATGTCAAGAGGAGAGTCAATTTATTAAAAAGATTATTTTTATCCTAGCCGTTCTTGTATAGAAGGAGGTTTGACACCCATTTTTTAAAGAATATAATTTTTAGTGGGAGAATGTGTGGTGAAAAAATTATGAAAAATTTTAAATTTGTGTATAATATTATTTTATTTGGAGAATATTGGTTGAAATGAAAAAAGAAAAAAAAATGAAAATGAGATGAGAATTGGTGTCCAACAGGGCTGAAGTTTTAAAAATTGGATCCCGTCGACAAAAAGAAAGTTTTTTGGGGGTGATGTATAGGTTGGTTGGATTTGACAACCATCGTTAAAATACACATTTAGATAAATTTAGGGTGTGTTCGGTAGAGATTAAAATTGAAAAACTAACAGTTATTGTTAACTTTTATTAGACGAGTGGGACCCAATAACAGTTATATTTTCAATTTTAATTGGATTTTAATCACGATTGAACACGACCTGACTTTGTTTGAGTCTTTTTTTGAGAAAATATATTTTGTAACATTGAATTTTTTTAGGATTAGTTAGAAAATATGAAAAGTTATGAATTTACCTGCAAAATTATTTATTGAAAGAATTTGTAATTGAAAATTAGTTCTTTCAAGAGGAGGAACTAAACATGGACTTAATGGTTCTTTCAAGTTGGTCACTTTAGCCATGTCTATTAATGGACTATAATTGAAAATAGGATGTGACGACTTAGATATTTATGATTTGGATTACCAACTAAATAAACGTGTAAGTTCAAGCTATTGAATTCGGACATAATAATCAAATTATAATAAATGTTACATGTGTAAATATCAACTCAATGAAGTTTTAAATTGATGATAAATTTTGAAGAAACGAAAGTTAGCAACTCATATAAAATTTCGCTAAAAATTTAGTTGATAATTTATTCAACTCGATTGTGTATGTAGTGAAGCC